AACGCAAAATGAGCATGTCATGTCAGCATTTATAGCAGAGATTTTTCAGGCAAGTTGCTAAATTTCAAAAGTTACAGTTGCGAAATCGAGCAAATTTGCGATGTGATATAAAATGGGGAGATACTACCGTCTCGTTACGGAATTATTTCGTCGGGTTTGTAACAGTTAAATTATCATTATAAAACTATCAGAGATAGTTGATCTAACGGTTACAAACCCCGATTGAATGGTTCCGTAACGTGACCCAAAGTATTTCCCTATAAAATAAATTATAAAAGAAGGTAATGAAATAATTTCTTATACAACACAATTACTAATTCACAAATTAATTTATTATTTAGGCAATCGTATTTTGTTTAAAAAAAAATTGCATATGTGTATTGTCAAATATTATTATTATTTTGTTATACTTTAAATATAAAGTACAAAAATATTTATTAGTAAAGTATATAGTATTATGCCTGGACGCCTAATATTTCCTTATTCAGATGCCAGTTTAATCATTCTTCTTTGGTCCAAGACTCCCAGAAATTCTATGGCACCACATGTGCCACCATATTATGGTGCCACAACATGATGTGGCACATTATGATTGGTGCCACAACATAATATGTGATAGTTATGGCACCAATCATAATATGCCGCATCATGTTGTGGCATCATAATATGGTGCCACATGTGGTGCCATAGAATTTCTGGCAACACTCCAAGCAAATATATGTATAAGCAACATTTTTTCTCATATCAATCCTCCCTATATATTAATTCAAAACCTAGGTGGCAAATTCTCACGCTTCGGATGCTGACATGGCGAAAATCTATGCTTCGTGATGTTATTTTTAATTATATTATTTTTGCTCTAGAATTAGATTTCATATTAGACATAAATAACTTTACACATATATTCATTAGTTCAACACCCATATTGTACATGAGTGTTAATACTAGTTTATGTATATCGGCGAATAGCATGTGTTAGGTAATACCTAAATTTTATTCTTACCGTGCAATAAGTTTTTCACAAATCACTAGTAATTATTATCTAAGTGTTTGGTAATGCAGAGAATATATACTCAAAGTTTGTTAATTATATATGTAGTGACATTGCCACTCACAATTTTGGCCGCCGTCCAATCGGGCTTTCGAAGATTAATTAATTAAGCTAAGAGACGCCTAACTAAGCTTGAAATTTGCATAAAAATAATTACTCCCGAGAATAGGATTAATAGTATGAATCATTGTTAATATATGTAATTATTTTTTTTTTTTTTGAAATATTAATTCTTAAAATCGTAGTTTGAAACTAATTATTTGAAAAGTTCATTTAGCTAAAAATAAAAGAAAAAGGCGCGCACCAACAACAAAAGGGAACATCCTACTTCCTAGCTATAGTATGATCCTAACTACTAATTAGTGGAATGTAAGTAATTTCTAAAACAAATCATAGGCTACAAAAAGTGATCAAGTTGAACACATGTAATCATGCACTCATGTGGCAAAGCCCTAGTTTGCGCAGAAAGTGCAAAAATAAGGGAAGTCTTTTATAAATTATAATAATATATAAAGGAAATGCTAAGGTCCCGTTACGGAATCATTCCGTTGGGATTTGTAACCATTAGATCAACTATTAATGACGATTACATCATATCTAACAGTTACAAACTCGACGGAATTAATGGTTCGGACCGTAGCATTTTCCAATATATAATGTGTTGCATCCTTTAACAATATCAGGCTATAATAATGCCCACCAAAACCTCTTGAATATATGAAAAACAATTATTTTTTTTTTTTCAATGGAGCTTCTAAGAAAAACCCTTGTTTGATATGCAATTGGAAAAGAAAAAAGTAAGAAGACACCAAAAGATATATTAAAATCATCAATTAATAATATTTGTTAATTTTTTGACTTAGGTGTGCAACGTTTTTTAATTGTGTAAGTTGAAAAGCATGCCAAATATTCAACCATATGCCAAAAAAAGTCTTTGGTTTTGGTATTCTAATGCAGTCATATATGTTTTAGATGTGATATTTTTTTGTTTTTTATTTTTTTTTTTTTATTTCTTTCCTTCATCATTTAGTAATTAATGGTTCAAATATTCCAATAGATATATATTAATGGATCTTGGTCCGTAGTATGTATTTTATTTTATTTTTTATTTTTTTATTTTTTGGAATTTTGTTAAGTTTCTTGATGCTTTGTGTTTCAATTGAAGGATGTGAACGTCCCGGCCGGTGGTGCTTACGATGATATCACAGACTTGAACGACAAGGAGATGCTGAGTAGCGCGAAATTCGCCATAGCTGAATATAACAGTAAGAACCAAAATAAATTGATTCTTGTGGAGGTGATCATGGGACTGAGACAAGTAGTCTATCTACAATCCTAATACAATTTGTGGCGACAGACAATATACCAAAAGACCAAGCAAATAATATTGTGTACAAGGATGTCTTTAATAATATATAAGTTATATTTTTGTTTTATTTCAATACATGCGTTTTACGTTTTTTCCAATCATCCAAATCTAAATGCTTACTTTAATAAAATTAGTCCGTACATTACACGGGTACTGCACTGGTATGTAAGGCAATGACTTACTAGCTAAGAATAACGATTAGTGTCGATTTGATTTGATAAAGTAGCAGTTAATTAACTTTTACATTTTTACAATTGGTTAGATAACCATACAATCAATTTTAAATGATCTCGAGTATGTTACTTTAATTTTAGGATATTATAAATAAAGGCTCACCATATATAAAATTTGTAAGAAACAAAAGAAAAACATGGGAAATATACCGCGCTTGGTTGACGTTTACATAATAACTTTCTTGGTTTTCACATATTTGTTTTCAGTTGAAGGGCGTAGGCCTCTTGGGCGTATGGTGGGTACGAATATACCTAGCAACTATGTAACCTTCCAATATATATTTATATTAATTAAGATTTAGTTTGTGGTTCATCTAGCTTTAAGGGTTCAAACTATGCAATGTCTAAACTTTTATCTATTTACCTATCTATCTATTTAATATATCTCTCATATATATAATTCTTGAAGGCGTTGAGCCTAAGCGGTAGGCTCGCACGTTTCGCACGTTTCGCAATTCTCCCCACCTCTGTGTCGCCACGTGCATCGAAGAGAGGAACCTTTCGGAAGGCCGAAATCATAAGTAGGTAGATAAAAGTTGAGCAATTGCATAGATTGAACCATTAAAGCTCGATGAACCGCAAACTAAATCTTAATTAATATAAACATTTATTGCAAGGTTACATAATTATTAAGTATTTTTACCCACCACCTTTTATGCAATCTATATATATAATTACTAGCTAATAGCATTTAATAAAATCTATTTAATTTTACCTATGTGGCAATTTAACATTTTTCCCTCCAAAAACTGTTACTTTTGATGTATTTAATCTTTCATTAATTATTAAATAATCAATACTAATCACTTCAAAATTACAAAAATCATTTTGAATTTTTGATTACTGACAGTTGACCATATAATGTGTTGACCGTATAATGTGATTAGATG